TTTTATCAGCTTCAACTAACTATGTTACAAATACTAAATACATGCGACTAGAATTAAACAGTCATTCGACAAAGAGATAACGGATTATAATGGTTAGCCTCAAATGACAGATGTGCAGTAGGGCTAAATCAAGCCCTTTCAGACTATCCAGTTCTAAGGGAAGACAATCCTAATGAATCCTCTTAATAGTTAATTAATATCAACATTGATTGAAATTTCAAAAAGAAATCAACATTCAAGTAGCCAATCCACCATACAAAACATCTTATATCCTAGAAAGCAATAAAAAAATACTAAATACTACACCTTTTCCCCTTAGCATTGGTTGATTGTACACACTATGGTGCTGTTTGTTTTTTCTGAGGCAAAATATCTGCAGTTTGCGGACCACATCTGTAGACCTCTGCAGTAGAAGAGGTGGACCAAACGTCTGCAGTCTGAAAAAAGAAGACTGTTTATTTTTTTAACATCTGCGGGCTATTAAAATAAACTGAAATCTAAATAAACTGGTTTTTTAAAACTTCAAAGCGAAGTTTTTATATATTTTTACGACTTTATTATAAATATATAACGAATCTAGATCAACTTTTATGTATTATTATATAAAAAATAAAAAATAAAAATGGTATTAATTCATATACATATTTGATAAAAACCAACAACTTTGATTGCAAAGTTATAACTAAACATTATAATTAGTGATCAAAGAATTTGATACATAAATAGATGGAAATAAACTTCGATTTTTTCAAATAAATCTATTAAAAACGTACGATAAATATTTTCTCGAGAAATTGATGATACTCTATTAAATAAAGTTTTACAAAATTTTGGCAAAAAAATATAAGAATATATTATGATTTTTTTTTTCATATTTATATAAACAACTTCCACAACTATTATTATAATAAATTTTTATTTATAAATTTGTTAAAAATATCATGTTTGTATCGTCAAATGTTTTTTTTTAAGTTTTGTAATTTTTTTTCATATTGTTTATCATTAATAAAGTTGGAAAAAATATAAATTAAAAAAAAAACTTAAAAAAAATAAAGATATATATGTTTTTTTAAGCTAGAAGATGTCTGAAGATGTTAGAAGACTCTGGTCCACATCTGCGCCAAGAAGAGGGCGCGCAGACATTTGTAGGTTTGCAGTCTTCAAAAAACCAAACAGTCCGCGAAGACTAATGTCTGCGCGTGGTCTGCACGGCGCAGACAGAAGACTTCTCGCAGATCTGCAGACAAAAAACAAACACTACCTATGTCTTTGATAATCTTTTATAAATCTTTTCTTTTCATTCTCATAATTTCTTTAAAGAAAACCGAAAAGCCATGAACCTAAGTTCAGAAGACACCGATGTGAGTCTAATTCACTCAAGATGTGCTTTGATACCGACTTCTAATGTCCCAAAACTTACAATAAATTTAAATTTTTTAAAATATCATTTATTAAATCAAAAGATCATTAATCCCACATCATTTTGTTTCAAATAAGTTTCACAATACAAAATCATTTAAGAAAATTTATAATTTAAAGCCCTAAAATCTAGCAGAAATTTGAATGCAAAAATGTCATACAAAATCTTCATCATAACCAAACCGCGCTAGTGTGTAGCGTCACACCCTTCCTTCTTTCACACATGATGATCATGTAATGGTGGTTTCAAGAGAAAAATGTCAAGCACGAAATTTAGTGAATTCCAACATATACAGAACATATCGATCATACATACACTACCTCTATTAGAAATCAACAAACAACACATCATCAAACATGCAAGTCTAAGAACTAATTCTCAACAAGCATACATTGTCGATCCCTCCATGCTAAGTACGTCGAACCCATCTCATGCGTGACATGTTGACTAATTTTGTTCCATCCATGCTCAGTACATCAAGAAAATATCATGCATATATAAGCGCACTCAAGCTAAATCAAAAAATGTACAACATCCACACTATGTAGTGAGAAAGTCACCTTAAATCGCAACGTAAACTATATGTGACACCCCGGGAATCCAACATGGAAAAAAATACGTCAGTATTATCAAGTATTAATAACTACATATCACATTAGTTCAATCCGAAACGGTTAGTGAAAGTTTCATTTTTCACCATAGTTTGATTCTTTTCCAAGCTTTGGGCAAAACTACTTGACACAACTTCCGAACTTTTGGGAACTGGTTTCTTTTCTATACAACTTTCGATGAATTAATTACGTTTTTTACAAAAAAATAAAAAAAAAGTTACAGAATAGTGATATTTTTACATAACATCATTACTTTGCATTTGGGTTAAATTAGCATCTAAACCCATTGTGTCCTTATGGAAACGCCATTATAGCTGGAAAATAAGTACTTGGTAATAATCATGAGTGTGGAGACATGATCATCATTTGGTGGTAAAACATACACCATAAAGTACAATTTCGAAAAAAGAAAATTGCCAAACTAGGGTTTTAGGTTTTCCCTTATGATTCAAAACAAGACAATGTAGAAAAATGTAACACTACTTAGTGGCACCCTTGCATGGTAGATAATAATGTCCATGGTTGGCATCGATGGCTGCTGAAGAAGGTGGTGGTGATGTCTTGGGAAAAACGCACCAAGGAGATGAAGAAGAAAGGAATAAGGATTAGGAAACCTACCTTGAAGCAACAATCATGCAAAACTTCCCCCCCCCCCTTGATTTTGATCATCTCGCTCGACTACTTCTCTTTTCTTGATATGTATCCTGCTCTCAACCTGCTCTTTCCCCGTTCTAGACCACACAAATAAACGTGCACACTCCGTGCCGTGCTACTACCTCACGCACATAGATGTCGGCTAGCTTCTCAACCGATATGCTCTCCTGGATCGGTATAAAGTCGGTGCTCTTGGTCAGCCGATCCACTATGACCCAAATCGAATCCACTCCCCGCGCGGTCCTGGGAAGCTTAGTAATAAAATTCAGGGTAATGTCCTCCCATTTCCGTACGGGAATGTCTAATGCATGCGTCTTTCCGTGGGGTCTCTGGTGCTCTGCCTGGACCTTGCTGCAGGTCAGTTATCTCTCCACATACAAGGAGACATCCCGCTTCATGCAGGGCCACCAATAGTCGGGTCGAAGATCCCTGTACATCTTCGTCGCCCCTGGATGGATGGAAAATCGAGACTTATGGGCCTCATCCATCAACACCTGCCGTACTCCGCCCCAGTACGGTACCCAAACACTCCCATGAAGGGTCAACAATCCCCGGCTGTCATAATCAAAAGAAGCTACTCGGCCCACGATCCTCTCACACTTCTGCCTCTCCTCCTTGAGGCCCTCAACCTGTGCCTTCCTGATCCGTTCCAACAGCGGAGTAATCACTATCATCCTCAAGCATATATCCCTGATCGGGGCCACTGCCGTCTTGCGGCTCAAGGCGTCAGCCACTATGTTGGCCTTCCCCGAGTGATAAAAGATCTCACAATCGTAATCATTCACCACATCTAACCACCGACGTTGCCTCATGTTAAGGTTCGGCTGGTCCATGTGGTATCTCAGACTCTTGTGATCCGTGTAGATGGTACAACGGACCCCATAAAGGTAGTGTCTCAAAATCTTGAAGGCGAACACCACTGCCCCCAACTCCAAATCGTGCGTCGGATAGTTAGCCTCGCACAATCGCTGTCTGAGAGTCTTAAATGCCACCTGCTGCTCAGGCCCCCAACAAAACACCACCGACTTCTTGGTCAGTCGGGTGAGGAGGACTGCTATCTTGGAGAAATCCTGGATGAATCTCGTGTAGTACCCTACCAAACCTAGGAAGCTCCAAATCTCAGATGGAGACACCGAGACCTCCCACTGCATCACGGCCTCGATCTTGGCCGGATCCACCAGAATACCCTTCTGGTTGACAAGGTGACCAAGAAATTGCTCCTCGTGTAACTAGAACTCACACTTGGAGAACTTTGCAAAAAGTCTCTCCCTCCTTAGTGTCTCTAGCACCTCTCTTACATGCTCCTCGTGTTGCTCTTAAGTCTTGGAGTACACCAAGATGTCGTCAATGAATAGTATCACAAATCGATCCAGCATTGGTCTGCATACGCGGTTCATGAAATCCATGAACGCGGCTGGAGCGTTGGTGAGCCCAAAAGGCATCACCACAAACTTATAATGACCATAACGGGTCCAAAAAGCTGTCTTCTGAACATCCTCATCCCTGACCTGCATCTGATGATAACCGGAGTGTAGATCGATATTAGAAAACCAAGATGCTCCCTAAAGCTGATCGAACAAGTCGTCTATCCTCAGGAGTGGGTAACGAGTCTTTACCATTACCTTGTTCAACTCCCAATAATCTATGCACATATGGTACGACCCATCCTTCTTCTTCACAAGCAGGATCGGGGCTCCCCATGGTGAACTACTCGGTCTAATGAAACCCTTATCTAGCAGCTCCTGCAGCTGCGTAGAAAACTCCTACATCTCTGGAGGAGCCAATCGATACGGTGCCTTGGCTATCGGAGCCGCAACAAGGACTAGGTCAATCCTGAACTCAACCTGTCTCTCCAGAGGTATCCCAGGCAAATCCAAAAAACAAACTGCTGCGAGAGGGAAAGTATTGTGCATGTGCTGCACCACGCATCAATAAGTGGTTTGAAGAGGTTTTTATAGAAAAACAAACAGCACCGTAGTTTAAGGGAAACTCAAAGTCAATATAGAAAAATTCGTCAACAAATGTCTATGTGGCAAAGGGGTACCCAGATGACCCCTTCACTTTGGCCAAAAGGATGTAATCGACCCGACAAAAATGACTTTGTTTCCTCGTAAAGTCACTAAAAAGGTGAAATGACTAAAAGGATAAAACGTAGAAAGTTCATAGGTCGTACGTATCATTTTCTTTATTTTATTTATATTCATAGTTGGGTCGCACTCCTGCAATCAAATTGACGAAATATTGTTGATTAATATGGGATCAAAATAATAAGCAATTAACTTAAAAATTACTATAGTAAAACTCTAAAAAAAAATATGTGTTTAACGTCGGATTTGCATGTTTATGTATGTGAATCGGATCCATTAAATTACGAGGAAGCTTCGACTCTTTCCCTTCGTTTACATCTCAAATGGCCGACTTTGTTTACTTTCATTGCCTCCATAATGTTTGAATTTCGCAACACTCGTTTACCTCCACTCACTATAAAACACCTCCTCCCTCCGGTTGTCATATACCAACTTAATCCAATACTTCAATTAAAAGATCGAAAACAGAAGTCTTTCCAGCTAGTAATGGAGGTGTTTTCACGTAACAAAGCACCCCTTTTCTTTCTTGTTTTGTTTGCCTCCTTGATCACCTTGGCACTTGGCCAAACCCGAGTAGGTTTCTATCAGACCTCATGCCCAAGAGTTGAAGCCATCGTGCAGGCTGCTGTCGATGCAGCTAATCGGGCCAACCCAGGAGTCCCACCCGGTTTGGTTAGAATGTTTTTTCACGATTGCTTTGTTAATGGCTGTGACGCCTCTATCCTAATTAGTGGTACTGGTAGTGAGAGAACTGCTGGGCCCAATACTCTACTGAGAGGCTACGAGATAATCGATGCTGCCAAAACCCAGCTTGAAATCGAATGTCCTGGAGTGGTTTCCTGTGCTGATATTCTCGCTATCGCTGCCCGTGATTCTGTGCTCCTGGTAATTTATTAATAGCTCAATCTTTATATTAACTTAGGCATTTTGAATGCGCCAGTAGAAATGGTAAAAAGCAGTGTTAAAACTATGTAATAATAATATATATTTTCAATTATTGTTGTCTAGGCTGGAGGAATTGCGCGTTGGCAAGTACCAACTGGTCGGAGGGATGGATTGGTGTCACGTGAAGCTGATACTACAAATCTGCCAGCTTTCAATGACTCGGTTGATGTCCAAATCAGGAAGTTTGCTGAGAAAGGTCTTAACACCCAAGATCTTGTTACCCTTTCTGGTAAGTTAACCAAAAACAAGAGTTCAATCATTGCTAAGAAAGAAATTAATAAACTGATGTGTTTCTGTGTTTTATTCATTTCCAGGAGCACATACACTTGGAACAGGAGCGTGTTTAGTGTTCAGCTACAGGCTATACAACTTCAACAACACCAATGGTCCCGACCCGTCTATTGACCCTGCATTCCTTACCACGCTCAGAAATCTGTGCCCCAACGGAGGTGATAGCAGAAGGCGTGTGGCTCTTGATACTGGTAGCGAAAACAGATTTGACACTTCATACTTTGCAAACTTGAGGAGCGGGCGAGGAGTACTTGAATCTGACCAGGTGCTATGGGGAAACCCTACCACACGAACAATTGCACAACGGTTTCTTGGAGTTAGTGGACTAGTTGGATTGACCTTCAATGTTGAGTTTGCGAGATCAATGGTGAGGATGGGTAATATTGAGGTGAAAACTGGAACTCAAGGAGAAATTCGTAGGGTTTGCAGTGCATTTAATTGATCAATGGCAGATATAAGTGAGAATCTATGACGGTCAATTTTGTTTGGAGTATGTGTTAATAGTATGTGTTTCTACAGTAATAGTATGTGTTTCTACCACTTTTTACGTGCGTCTTATTATTGTAATATGTTTTATAAAAAGAAAGCGGAAAATAATGTGTTTCCATTGTTTGCTTGCAAGTTATTTCGCTAATGTAGAATTTACAGCACTAAGGAATTTATTGAATTATTATTGTACTATGTTTTATAAGTAATTGAATATTAATAAACTGCAGACATCTATATTGATTAACCACTTTAAAAACCCATTAACATGTCTATCATTTGCAATAAGCTTTCAATAAATCTTCTAAAATTTTATAAATAGATCATATTGTTCTTATTTAATTAAAATACATATCAATTTCAATTTTATTTTTTGTATATTGTGATAAAGTTAAAACACCAAATTAAATATCAACAATATTTTTGTTCTCTATCATATTAGCCCCCACAAGAATTGGGAGTATTAGGGTCGTTGCTTTTTTGCGACGACAATACCATTAGCACCGACACCAGGCAAACCACGTTCGGTGTCACAACGAAAACACCACTATCGTCACCAATAGCATCATCGCTTAATGTGTGCACCGGAGATCTGTCGGAGACATGCCACTTTCAATCCTCGCCCTTGGTTCGGAACATGATCCAACAGATAGTGTTTGTTCGTATAGAAAGCAATAGTGACGGCGCCTATAACGGCGATATGTCGTCGTTATTGGTATCGTTTTGTTTACTCACATTGGACGAAATCTTCGCCCTACAATTTTCTCCCGATCCAACAATCGATAATCTCCAGAAAGGACGCGTTGAGTCCCCTCCATAATGTCGCCGCTAATAACTTCTTTGTCGCCGCTATTAGAATCGCCGCTAAAGGGTTGCCCCTTTTGTTCAGCTTCCCTTTCCCAGATGACATATATTCTGTAACCATCTCCAATTGTGTCTCTCCGGCGACGAGTTGCAACATCACCAGTGATGTCACTGCTCTCGACCGCCAATATAACCTCCAAAGCCGACTGCCACTATCGGCTGTCAAGTGCTACCTCCATTACCGAAAGTCACCTCCGATTACAACTTGGTATCTCCAATGAGGTTCATTTTCTCTACCCATTTCTCTTTCTCTTATTTTCTGAACACACATCACCACCACCGATTTTGATGAGCAAATGATATTCTTGATTTATTGTCACAACTTGTGTCTATTAGAGTATTACCAAGCACGTACCCCTACAAATTTGAAAACATTATAACAAAACATTAGGTAAATGTTTTTTAGAATCAAGTTCACGAGAGACATTGTTGAGTTTAGAATTGTAAATAAAAAATTAAAACTATAACTTCAACTGATCAATTTGTATTTCGATGTTTATATGTGGCCCTTCTCCAACTTCATTTACTATAAAAAAGGGAAACAAGAAAGATTTTATTTAGTCAAAAGAAGTTTAGCGGATTAAACAAGATGATTGTAAGAATGGATTGTTAAAACTTAAGAACCAAGATACAATGGATTGTTGTGAAATGTAGGATGATCCGCAAACCAGACACTATTAATTGGAATAAACATAGCAAGCAAGCTATAATGATCTTAGTTTGTATCTAAAACAGATACAAATTAAAGGACACAAATTAAACATGTGAATATGCCTTCAAATATATAAAAATAAACCTTTAATTTCAAACATGAGTATATATATATATATATATATATATATATATATATATATATATATATATATATATATATATATATAACACCTTACTTTTCTAAGAAATGGGTAAGTCTTCTGTCGCAACAATAATATGACCATAATAAACTAATTATATTATTTATAAATTAGTTAGTGAAATATTAATCACTTTAAGTAGAAATTAGATTAAATGAATGGAAAACAAAAAAAATAACTATCGTTTATTTATGAAAATTTTAACTTAAATAACTAAAAACAAATAAACAATCTTATTATCAAAACAAAAAAATTTAAATAAAAAATTAGATTAAATGAATTTAACGCATCGAAAATCACTTTAAGTTTATTGATATTTAAAGTTTGAGTTTATTGATATTTAAAGTTTGAGACACTGCAATCTAATCAAATATACTATTATTTTACCATTATAACTGTTCTTATAACTGTTCGTAGCTATTATAATATGACTATTAGTTAGCTAAAAAGAGTAGTCAATGTTAAAACATATCACAATCTAAACATAATCCATCAATATGTATTAACTTTATCACTTCAAAATCTAAAAAAAATAAAAATAAAAAGAAAACAATATCCAATTTATAATTAAACAAAAAGGACATCAAACAACCTTTTTAAATGTTAAATAAATCAATGATGATAAATGAAATACATAAACTATTCTTTGAGGTTTAAGGATAATACTTACATATTTCATTGCAATAATCCGTAACTAATCCATTTGTTGTCACTTTTTTGTTGTTTTGAGTGTTGATTTGGAATAGAAAGAAAAGAAGATATAAATAAAAAAAATTTATACTATAATTGTTTAAAGTAAAATGTTATAATGTAAAACAAAAATGAAAAACATAAGATGGTAAATCTACTAAGTTGTAATCTAATAACTTGATTATTTAAAATAGAAAGTTATAAAAATAATAAGTAGGTTTTTTAGTTATTTAATCCATCGTATTCATTAACTTTATCATTTCAATATCTATATTTATCAAAAAAAAAAAAAAAAAAAAAAAAACAATATCCAAGTTATAATTAAATAAAAAACACCTCATACAACTTCTTCTTTGTATGTTGAAATAAAATGTTATAATAATAAACAAAAACAAAAAAAAAACATAAGATCGTAAATGTACTAACTTGTAATCGAATAATTTAATTATTTAAAGTACAATGTTATAATAATAAAAAGTAGTTTTTTTAGTTTACTATCTTCCTTTATTTTTCTTTTAAATCATCAAGAGTTTAGAAATATCCGCCTGAAATTGATTTAGAAATTATTTTCGGGATGTCCCCGTTTTAGGATTGGTTTTTGAATACTTTATCTCATTTGAGATGTGAATGTGTATTACATGATTGATGTTTTAAGAAAATTCAGTTGTTATTTTCTCTTTGCTTCTCGAGTATATATTTGTATATATACTTAAGAGCTAAGGGAAAATGTTGCCAAAGTTTTCTTAAACAGTTAATCAGGTAATACACATGCACATATGAGGTAATATATTCAAAAAGTGGGTTTAGAAGCCTAACCTTATGAATACTCTATGTGATTGAGCGGTTACTATATCCTTATAAATATTCAATCTCAATTTTAGTTCTTACAGAGTAAAAACTAAAACTTAACTTATGTTTCAGTTGCAACATTTCTATTGATAAAAACTCAGACTATAATTGAAAACCGTAACTCTACCATGTTCCAACAAGAACTAGAATCTTTTATCGAGAGGTCCAAGCTACATGTCGATAACAAAGGTTAAATCAGATGCCCATGTACCAAATCTAATGTCAATAAATTTATACTACTATCCATAATGAAATTTCATATACTTCAACATGGTTGTAGTCCACATTATACTATTTGGAAGTATCACGAAAATAATATAGTTCATTCGGTTTTCGAAGACATATCTCATAGTAACGAGATGGTCGATGTTATTGCTAATGTTATGGGGGGTGTGATTCAAAATAATACCAACTACGATAAAGGGAACATGGATATAGAGGGTAGTGGAGTCGATTATGGATTTCAGAAGCTGTTAGAGGAAGTCCAATTAAAATTATTTCCTTCTTTTTCGTCCCTTCACTTTTTCGCAAAGCTGATGCATATCAAGGTGATCAACAAATAGATTGATAGTTTAGTTGATCTGCTTCTTAAGTTGTTGCAAACTGCATTTCCTCAAGGAAACAGGGTCCCCCCCCCCCCCCCGGTCACATTATGAAGCAAAAAGACACTTAAAAATACCATCTTGGGTTATGAGTCGATACATATATGTAAAAACGACTGATTTCTTTTCTGGAAAGAACACAACTTGTTGCAAAAGTTTCCAATTTGTAATAAGAGTCGGTGGGTTGACGAAAATAGAAAGGGTAAGAAGTAGCTCATAAGGTGTTACGATACTTTTTTGTGACCCCCAGACTATAACTTTTGTATTGTTCTAGAGACACAACTTAATATATGATTTGGCACAATACAGGGCGATCCAAAAATGATATGATGCTTCATCCTGTTGATGGTACTTCATGGAAAAACTTCGATATGAAGTATCCTCACTTCTCGAGGGGAACCTCGAAATGTATGCTTAGGGATTGTTGTTGATGGTTTTAATCCGTTTGGTAACATATGTAATCCTCATAGGACGTGGTCCGCCATACTCAACACTTACAATATTCCACCATGGCTATGCATGAAAGAGTCCTACTTCATGTTGACCTTGTTACCCGGGAAGTACTCAGATGTGTTCCTGAGGCCGTTGATGGATGAGTTGAAGTAGTTATGGAGTTTGGGCGTATGTACTAAAGACGCGGCAACAAATACATTCTTTAATATGAAAGCGATGTTGTTATGGACAATAAACGATTTTGCAGCTCGTAGTAATTTATCTGGTTGGAGCGGACAAGGATATAAAGCTTGTCTGACTTGCAATGAAGACACTGTGTCATACCGAGTATCAAATTGTAACGACATAAATTTTTAAACCAATTTTTTTTCATTTTTACAAACATCAAAACATCGAGTAATAATTTAAGTTCCAATGTAAACAATTTTGTCACGACCGATTACATAACAAAGATCACAAAATAGTTTCCCCTGAGTGTGTGTACGATCACGCCGGCGCGTTCCCACGGTCCTCGCTAGTACCTGAAACACATAACACAACAACTGTAAGCATAAACGCTTAGTGAGTTCCCCAAAATACAACCTACGCACATACGCCCTTCCAGGCCTTGACCTTATGGCCCATGTGTCTCAGGGGACTTCCGTCCCGTCTAGGCAAACCTTCCGGTCCTACCCGCGACAACCTTACGGTCCATTTTACAACGCTTTCCGGCCCATAACATAATGCCTTCCGGCCCATATCAAGCATATCATAGATGGCACATATAACGATTAACTTATGACACATAATGCATATATCTCATATCATATTTGACCTTCCGGTCACACAGTTAAACCCTTCCGGGTGCAGTATAGTGAGAAGACTCACCTCGTATATGTCGATAACTCGTGAACCCTGGAAATCACTCGTGCTCTAACCCCCGTGCTATAACCCTCCTATAACATCATATATCTATAATTAATACTTGTACCACTAAGGTTGACCATCCCTATCAAGTCAACTTTGGTCAATAGTCAATGTTCAATTTGACCGGACTCGACGAGTGCACTAGAGCGACTCGGCGAGTCTACGCGTTTTCACCAACTCGCAAGGATTTTCCCCTTTGACACGTCGAGTACTCCCCTGACTCGACAAGTTCCACCTGGTCATGAATCACGGGGCCACCGCGACTCAACTCGCCAAGTCACAAGGACAACTCGGCGAGTCCCAACTCGACTCGGTCCACCTGTCAGTCCCTCTCTAACTCTCTGTGACTCGCTGAGTTGCCCACAACTCGGCAGGACTACTCACTGGGTGGTTTTAAGGACAATCTTCAAGCTACTCGTCGAGTCTGTTCTTCAGACTCGGCGAGTCCATGCCATGCATCAGCTAAAACTTGCTTCTGCGGTCAGATCCGTTCCATACACACATAGATCTGGCCTTTCCAAGCTCATTTATCACGTAAAGTCTCAGTCTTGGCCGCCATGCAACACTTACACGACTCTTTTTGGGGAAATAATCTCTAATATGGCAACCCTAGTCTCCAACTCAAAAGAATGGACATAAAGCATATCATTTGGGGCCTTCTGGACCTGCTAAGATCCAGATCTAGGTTCCATATCTCCATGGGACCTTTCACACTTCAAATACAAGTCAAACAAGGCAAGAAGAAACCCTAGATTTGACATATCAACCAGAACACGAATATTAGCTCTGAAAGTTACCTCAAGAAGCTTCCCTTGACGAAATAGAAGCAGATCCAAGCTCCCCAACTCTTCTAGCTTGATCTTCTCC